CACGACGTCCGGGCCATTTTGGAGGTTCCCGTGGAGGGACGTATAGTGGCAGGGGACCCGGGCACTGGGACACTCCATGCGTACTGCATGGAAATGGTGGGGGTGGACTAGTGAGAGCTGACGAAAACTACTGGGATCACGGCGGGGTGACCACTGCCGCCGTTTCGGGTGCATTCAGGGGGCTCATACAACCTCGGCCGGCTGACCAGGAGGCAGCCGCATGGCTGTGGATGGCGATGGGTACCACTTTGTTTACAGACAAGAGTGGTAACATAATTAGTCCAAAAGTCATGCACGAGATGAGCGACGACACGACTCGACTCGAGTTTGGACTTTCTCCTGGGGTTCGGCTGCACTGGCATACCTATACAGACAGTTAGGTATTGCCAACAGGGAGGACGCCAAAGGACTGACTGGCTGGTTGGCTCTCCTGCAGTCTTAGATTTACGAGTACTTCATGCCCTTTCGACCCCACTCAGAGCCTCGGCCAGCAGATGGCGCTGTCGCACGTTCTACCTCGTGGAGCACGTCGGTGACTCAGAGGTCCGTAGAGAGCCTTGAAGGTTACCGTATCTTCCTTGACCAGCTCATAGTGGACCAGGTACGCGAATGCTATAAGTGTTATTTACATTTTTTTAAATATTATTTTTTTAAAAAAAAAATATAAGTGTTATAATAAATGTTTTTGTGTAATTTTGAACAGCTGAACTGGTTGCCGTACGGCCGCAACCCCGCTGATATCGAGGCTAGGACCCTCTATGTCGGGTGCATTAGGTACCGCGACATCGTGTCGCCCAACAATCCTCGGCGGTTGTTGCGTAAGCTGGGCTACGTCCAGCGTATCCCTCCCGGCATCCGTCGGCCATCCACTTTAGTATGGGCTTGGGAGTCTAGGTGCTACAAGGCCGAGCACTCTGCAGAAGCTGCAGAGGGTTCCTGGAACGAGTTCCCGTAGCTGTCAGCAGTCAACCTGGCTGCTTACACCCGCACCACAGTTACACTAGGGGAGGTCCAGCCGGTGTACTCCGAGTGGTTCGCTCGGTTTTCTCATCTGAAGTTTTTGGGTGGCGATCAGATGGAGCCTCCCCCAGTCCCTTCGCGTGTCGATGCCTCTTATGTAAGTCGTTTACTTAATTTTTGTTCTCAATGTGTGCTTTCATTATAATATTTATTTATTTTAACTCTTCGCTTTGTGGATAGTGGCTCAAACGTTACGACGACGTCCACTCTGTGTACATTTCACGCGTCGAGCGTGTTGATCTTGATTTGGCGAAGGAGTACGCAGACGTCTATCTGTAGTTAAGGCGGATTGGGAGAGAGCGACGCGGCGTTGATGGTTGATGTAAATAATGTTGTGTTTTTATTTTATTTTATTTACTGTACACTCGACTTTTGGTTGAATTGTTTTTTTATATATGTCGCTACTCATTCACATTAAGTTTTTATATTTCTGATATGCTATACTATATTACAATTAAAAAATACATCACAATCATCGTATACATACTCAAAATCGAAGTCAATGATATACATAAGTTCAAACTAACGTATAATCACAACTGAATATTATAAGAATATCAAAACCTAGGTGCATCACGAATCTTGATCCACGAACTATTCTATTGTTGTAGTAATTCTCCCAACCGACAACTGACGCATCTCGAGGTGCCGTCCAATAAGGGTATATAGGCGGTATTGGATGGCCGGGAGTCAAATTAACACGAATGTAGTGTGGGTAACAACCAAGATGACACAAGACGATCTCGCGCTCTAGTCGTGTAGCCGTCGATGGTGCGACGAACGGCAGTATAGTAGCACTATAAAAGCTAGAATTGTTACCATGCTCACCCATGCCTAACATGACGACAACTGCATTAAAAAATGTGTCCACGGAAAAGAGGTCGCACATAATTTCCATCCAGTGATTCTGGCCACAAGGGCCCCCGTCCAAGCGTATTCAATTGAGTTCTATGTTGATCTCATCAATGTAGACGGCCTCGTACCTCTGAATGTTCCCCGCAATCTCATTTGCAATAATTTGTCTTGCCACTCGATACTTCTCCCGATCACCAAAAATATAGCTCGCAATTACCCGAAATCCACAATTCCCATCATCAGACACATCCAAGTAGCTCTCTACGTAGTCGTGCAAAATGTAGGGAATGCTATTTCAAAACTAGTAATCGAAGAAGTCTGTCGAGAACGTCTCTATATTATCACACACATTTCACATCAGGATATATATAATCGAATTTATGTACATAATTAGATGACGTGATTAAAACACAAAAAAATAATTAGAATTTAATATGTCGTTCCTTCTGAACGCTGAGAAGACGAGCTTGTCGGTGCTTGTGATGAAGTGCTTTTACGGCCCACCGGACGATCTCTTTCCCGGTACTCCCAGGCACACGGATCACGCTTTGTTGAATTTCTCTTTTTCGGTCGACCTCGCGTGTTTTCCTTCACTTCAGGTTCTCCGTAACCTTATTGGTCAGGGTGAAGTTGAGAGTAGATGTATTTGATTCAGATGACGCACGGTCGCAGAATTGGCCATTTCGACCTCATCCGCAAGGCTCCAAAAATACGATAAGTTTGTCCACCTAACCATTGATGGTCGTGCACCACTCGTTGATGGTTGTGCACTACTCATGGGTGGTCGTGCACTACTCTGGTAATCTGTTCGTACAACCAAATTTAAAAGATTAAACATCATAAGCTATATATAAATTATATAAAAAAAAGCAGCACGTGAAGTATAAAAGAAAATAAAAAATAAAAGCATTCAATTCAATATCGCAATTATACTTGGCACCTCAAGTGTTATCCAGAACTAGTGAATGTCATTCGTGGTAATCATGGCATCAACATTGCACGCCATACTCACGTAACAGACACAAAGAAGTCCATGCGTCCATCTGAGTACGCACTCGCAACGCGTGGTAACCTCATCGCTCAAGTCTCGCATCCTCTTATACTCTTCGTTCAATAACTCCAAACAATAATGCGAGACCCTCAGTGTTAGCTGCGAGAACGGAAATCCAGTGTAATGGTAACTTCGTCTGGTCCTTGACTCCTCCAGCGTGGTCCTGATAATAGATTGCATTATAATTAATACATTAATAGCACAGTAAATATGTGTAGCTTAATAAGTTAACGTACCTTATTTGAGTGTGTTGGGACTCAATCTCCTTGTGAGCCTTCTCCCACACTATGTAGATCAAACCGGTCGACGTGTTAAGCCACTGCTTCCACACAGCGTGGGCACTCTCCATCCTACACGACGTGGTGTTACCCAAATACAGGAAGTGCTCCGTCCACGCTTTGACAAATTTTTCCTTGTGAACTAACCACGTCTACTCTATATACTGTGTAACAAGAGGGAACGCCTTGTACCGATGGTGCATGTCCTTCACGGCAGAGTCGTACTCGACCACTGTGCTCGCTTCCAGGATCTTCTTCCACCTGCCGCGCGTGAACTTCTCGGCGAATTAACTATTATTCTAGCTAAGTTTATAGACCTTGTGTTCCACATCCTTGTTGATGTGCCACGTGCAAAGAAGATGGGCAGACGTTGGAAAATTAATCATAATAGGATTAATCAAACCCAACTCCCTGTCAGTGACAATGACTAAAGGATGTACATCAGGCCCAATCAGATCTCTCAACCGCTTCAAAACCCAGTCATAGCTGTTCTGGCTCTCGTCCTTCAGAATTACATATGCAATCAAGAAGTTCTTATTGCACGGTGTCATCTCTATTATTTCCACTAACGGCATCTTGTACATGTGCAAATGAGGTCAACAAAATCAAACAAAGAATAACAAAACGTACATACTCAGACATAATAATTAAGATTCGTACTAAATTGTTATTTGTAAAGTAACATACCTGTTGGATTTGTACGTCGAATCTATACTGACGTACCAATAATTGGTCTGAAAGAGAAGGGCTGCCTGGGGATGCGACATGAACACACGTGTCAAGGTGTGTGTCCTTATCAGAATCGGTGAAAACAATGTAATTAGCCCGGCTAGCCAGATGCATAAGCTGGGAAGTCACATCTCTGCCCTCCAAACTCTCTGATCGAAGTTTAGCCCTATAGTTGTAAACATGTTGACGAGTCGCGTTGTCAGACGGGTTTCTATCTTGTATCGTTGCCAATATTACTGTCGGTCTTGCCTGGACACCTGTCATGTCACGGACGATCTACCTCGACAAATCACTGAACTGTCGATGACCCTCGGGGTAGAAAGCCATCGGATGATTATGGTATCCCTTCTGATCATCCTGAGGCAAACATACACTCCAGGAATCTTTCATACCGGCCTTTTTTTCAATCTCATCTCAAACAGGCATCCGGTATATT